GGGAAAGAGCACAGATGGCAACCGAACTGGCAGCGGGACAGGTACAGAGGGCACGTAGCTCCGAAAAGGCTGCCTCAAAGGGTGGGAAACATTGCAACAGCCTTTCTAATAGTAGTGGAAAAATAAATCCCTTATCAAGTGATTTCTGGTCACAGATCAAACAGTAGTGTCTTATAATGTCAGCTGCCGATACCTAGCAGAAAACAGATTAGGGGTCTTATCAACGAAAAAAAGAGATTCTTAATGTTTTCCTCATACACAAGGCGGATGTCCCCAGCCAAATGCCCTGGATCATTCCCATACAAGCAGACACCCGTTGGAAGTGGCAGACTTCCCTGGGATAACAACTGCCTTTTTGTTGGGTCCATACTGCAAATGGCACAACAGGACCCAGTCCACAACTACCGAGCCCCAGATATCCTAGGCACTACAATGATGCCATCAATCAGCAAGGGCAGTTAGACCCCAAATCCTCCTTATTTATGGCATTCGTGATTTCAAATTAAAGCATTTCACTGAAAACTGAGACTCTGTCCTTAAGTACTTCAACTGATGATGATTTAACAGCAGTGCCAAACCTCAGCATTGTCTTTATTTTTCTTTTTTTAATGTAGATAAACAGAGCCATCCTTCTTTCCCATTTTGTAGCACTAAGAAATAAACCTGAACCCTAATAAGTGGGGTTTGTTTTATGCTGTGGGTACAGAACGGGAATAAATCCATCTCTGGTGCAGATGAGTGGGTCTCCTGTGGGTTAGCAGGGGAGCATGGTCAGGGGGGTCCTGGCAGAGCTTGGGAGCCAGAGGGAAAAAGAATAGATCCGGGGGGAATAGCTGAGCAGTGGAGGAGACCCCCTTAATGCATGGCTTCCATAGCGGGCAGACAGACCTAAAGAAATCATCTCCAAAAGCGATGGCTCTGAGCTGGACAGCATGAGTTTGGGTCATACCCTCCTTTGCAGCCGCTGCTCGGACTAGGGGGTAGGACAACAGTTTTAGCTATTTCCCTTGTTTTCCAGAGAGTAATCCCTCACCCAGGGGTCCCAACCACCCATTTACTGGTGGCCTTTACCAGCCCGCGGTGCAGCCGCGTCCTTGGAGGCACCAGGCAGCCCTGGGAGGCCATGGAGCACCCGCAGGGTGATGCTCCCCTCGGAAAGATGTCCATCCCACAAGGACAAGGCCGCGTGACGCTCGGAGCCGCGTGCCACGAGGTGGCACCATGTCACTGCTAACCTGCACGGCGGGGTCACCTCTGCGGCCAAGGAGCTTCTGCAGGACCCTACCCACCTGGTAGGCCTCCGAGCAGGCCCATCATTAAAATCCGTCCACTGAACTTCTTTTTTTTTTCCCAATAACTGGGCAGCCCTCCGTTCTGTAAGACCCAGCTGAGGGAGGGGGTGGTGCCACTGCCCTGTCCCATGGAGCATCCTCCCAGCGGGACCAGTCACCTATGAGAGCCCTCTGCATCTCCTGCAGAAATCTGGTCACCCTATAGCTGAGGGCACAAGGTTTGCAGAGCCGCAGTGCCATCTCCCAGTGGTTACAGCTCTCCTTGGGGGGGTCCTGGGCCCCTGTCCCTGCTGTCACAGTCATTTGTTGGCACTGGGAGAAATGTCAGTGTCATGGTGGTGACTGTGCCTGGCTGGTGTGTGCTGACCTGCCGGCATGCACTGACTGTGCCCCCACCCTCCAGAGACTACATGCAGGAGAGCTTGTTTCTCCCATAGAGCTTGATCACGTCAAGGTAGGGAGGATTCAGGTGAGCCTATATCCCTGAGGAACTTCAAACTTCATGCCTTGGCACATTCAGATCACCTCTATCTTGGGAGCACCAGTGCAGAAAAGAAATGCGGTGGGTGACAGTCCCCAACCCAAAGAACTTGCCCAGCACCTGGTTAGTGCCTTGATTAGGCTCCTGAGCTCCTGATTGCCAAGTGTCCACAGCCTAGCCCAGTCCTTGGGGTCCTTCAGCAAAGCCCTACAGCTGAATGCCCCGTACTGCTCAGGGAGCCCAGCCTCAGGACCTGCCTGTCCCCACCACTCTGCCCTGAGCTCTACTAACACAGACCTAACGTTGGCTTCGGTGGGGCTGACTGCTCAGATGCTCCATGGAAAACAAGGTGACTGCTGCACCCAAGTCTCACCTAATGAAGAAAACACAAGTACAAGCCATAGGAAACTATTAGCAGAAAATTCCCCAACGGATGAGAGTTTCTGCACACACCGAGTAAGCTCCAAGTAGCTCCTTCCGCTCTTGCTTTAGAGCATGGAGCAACCAGCCAAAAAAACATGCGCTTCTCTCTGAAGAGGAAACAGAGGGAGCTGCTCAAAGGGAGCTCTCCTGCGTCGGTTCGCTGTCCCTGGCAGTGCGCTCAGCGCTGTAATACAGAGACTGGTAATACCTACACTATTCCTGACACAATGCTTTGTGGCTGAACAATACATTTGCCAATTCAATTTATTCAAACAAGTTCCTTGGGAAGACAGCAAAGGAAATGCAGGTGGCAATTACCAAATTCAGACTCTGCCCTGGACTCGGGGAAACAAAGGGGCAAGATAGGAGAGAAATAGCAAGTTCTGCTGGAAATCCCACAACCGCAGAATCCTAGGAGCTTTTAATCATGTGCTTGCTGTATTCAGCTGAAAAAAAACCCTGTGTCATTGGGCAAGGAGACAGAGCAGCGCTGCAATTGCTCTGCTGTAGCACTTAGCACTTTGGAATATCTTTACTACAAAAATTAAATGCTTTTTTGTTTTCCTTTGAAAGCACAGCAGTATTTGGGCTCCATGGCCCATTGCAGTGACATGTAATTGAAGAATAAGTACATTCAACAGCTACCAAGACTGACAGCGTTGCAAGTCCCGCTGTGTTGCATACTGTCTAACCATACTGCAGACAGACGGGGTGGAGGTTGCCTACAAGCTTAGATGAACTGTCTAACCAGTTCAAAGCTTGGTTAGACACCTTCAGCCATGTGCTGAGTCCCATCAGATCCCAGACCATCTTTCCCAGTACATCAGCATGGGCGCAAGCCTGCA